AATCCCGACTTTTCGTTTTTGAAATGGAAGAGGAACATCCGGATTTCATGCTTGCCCTAGATTAATTTACGGATTCGTGATTGGGATTGAGATTTGGGATTTGGGATTTGAGATTATTTTAGGGATTTCAACAGAAGGAGGAGGGAGAAGGAAGACACATCATGAACAAGATTGCCACCTCATCTGCAAGATATACAAAACAAACGGACGTTTGGGGGCAACTGACGGTGAGGACTAAAATGACACCATTTTAAAAGTTAAAGGACCAACTTGACACTTTTTAAAGATAAGGGACCAAAATGGACCCCGAGCTAAAGTTAAGGGACCAAAAAGGTTCTCTCGATAAAATGATGAAATATCTAAAATAATATTTTAAGAATAACTATTTAAACCAAATTTTCATTTGAAGCTTTTATAGAAAGTTTCTTTGTAAATTTTTTTCCATAAAATTATATTACACTATAAAAATCATTTAAAAACAAAACAAAACAAACAAGCTCTTATTCTTTGAAATAAAATTTGCATACACTTTTAAAAATTTTATTTTTATATTAAAAAGTGATATTTTTTTATTGACGATAATAAAACACAACTATCACAACTACAGAAAATCCATATAACAACAGCTGAAAAATAGATACCATCACACAAGTACAACCGTTGTGACGTAAGGTGTGATTGTATGTATGATGATTTCAACCACGGGCGGGTGACCGTGATTGTATCCAAGTAGCATGCTACCTACCACAACGGTTACTTTAAACAACTGTTATGGTATATTAAAATGCAAAATATTTAACAACGGTGTTCTAGACAACTGTTGTTGTATATAACCCTGAGTTTATTATAAATTATATGAAATATTTATTTCGCCAATGCTCACTAAACATATAATCTTTCAATCTACACTAGAACATTATAATATGACAAATAAGTTATATTAGATGAATTAATTCACGTTCAGTACTTGACAAGAGTTCTTCAAGTCCTTATCCATATTTTGTTCTTTGACAGTAAGAACTTGATTTAATGATCCTAGTTTTTCAACAACCTCTACCTTCAAGTCTAATTCTTTTTTGCAAAATATTATTTACTTTGCAAACAAAATTAGAGATGGAGAGAAGGGTGGTTGAAGATATAGGATCACTAAATTAAGTTTTAACGGTCAAGGAATAAAATGCAGTTAATAGTGTGAAGAATTCTTGTCAAGAATTGAATGTGTACTTATTTTCTAATACAATTTTATCTATCATATCATAATTTTCTAATGCAGTTTGGGAAGTTATATATTTGGTAAGGGATTGGAAAAATACTCAAACCACATAATATATAATAAACTCATATTTTAAACAGACATTAACAACAACATTCATCAAAATCATTCATCAACAACAAACAATAATAAATAAACACGATACAACAAACATCAAGGATAAATTTAGACCAGCAAACTTGTGTATATTTTGAATGGATGTCAGTCTGGATCTTTGACACAAGTTTGACAAGCTAAATTTATCTTCGTCCTCTTTATTACAATAAGCATCCATACCTACAAGAGAAAAAAAGAAGAAAGTTCAAACATCATGAAACAAGATATTGAAATAGATTTTGAAATAAAAAACTACAGAGAAAACAAACCTGTAAATATCCATTGGCTAAGACTTGTTGTTATATTTTCGTTTTGTGGTATCCATATGAGAGAGACGAGTGACAGAGTTGTTAGAGTTTCACTTTGAGAGACGAGTGAAAGAGATGTTAAAGTTTTGTTTTGAGAGAGACGATTGTATTTATTGAAGCGTTAGATAATTTCACTTATATATAAATAAATATCACGTTTCATCACGGTTGGAAATAAAACCGTGGGAACATACATGGTCAATAACATTTTTTATCACAAGAAATGACTAATTATGGTCAATAACATTTTTTATCACAAGAAATGACTAATTATTGGTGATGGGATTTGAACCATTTCACTCCGTGTACTTTTCACTACTGTTGATACTTCTGACCGTTGTGACATATCATCTGGTAAATAAAAAAAATATGCGCCCAGAATAAATATATTATCACGGATAACGCTATGTCCGTCGTAATATTAGTATTACAAATGACTTATTTTGTAGTAATGTATCAACAATTATTAACTTTTATTATTATTATTTTTAGAATTTAATTGATATATACCGATAATATAATTTTTTTTACACTGTCAGTTAATTGTAACCATTACATTTTTGTTGGTTTTTGACTTTTTCTATAATCATATAAAATATCATCTATGAATCGTTGTCATGCTTACCAATTAATCTCTTGCTTTTATTTCAAATTTTTACACTAACAACACATATCAATTAATCTCTTGCTTTTATTTCATGTTTTTACAATAACAATACATATCAATTAATCTCTTGCTTTTATTTCATGTTTTATATTAAAGCTAAATAAATTATTAAAAAAAAATCATTTACCAAACACATTTCATGAAATGATAATTTAACAATACGATTCTTGACAAAATTAATACCAAAAATAATTTTCAAACTATAAAACTAACACATCCACTTCTTTTGTTCAGCAAAACAAATACATCATAAATAGTTAATTTTAGTACTATATAAAAAAGATATACGTATTTTTATGAAAAGAAATTAAAAAGTATACTTGGGTTAAAGGCTATCATGATAATAACAAATTTGAAGTCAAATTTAATTAATAGACTAAATAAGATAAGAACATGAATTTTTTTTAAGACTAACTATGTATTGTTTATTATTTACCAAATAAACAAATGTTTAAAGAAAATGACTAAAGTGACTATGATCATTCTCTTCAAACATTTGTTGTTTTTTTCAATGGCAAACATTCACCATTTGCTCCGGCGACTATGAAAAAAGAGAAAGAATTTGCCATTTGGAATGACTACCTAGGCCAATCTAGGATTTAGTAATTATTTTTTTATTTTTAGTTAATGACTTAATTTAGATTTTTATCAATTAATTATATTTTTATTATAGTAATTATAAAAAATATAGTTTGTAGTTGATAAATTTAAATAATTATTTAAAATATAGATTTTAATAAATTTAAATAATTATAAAAAATAAGGTTTAATAAATTTAAGTAATAAATTTAAATAATTTATTTAAAATATATATTTAATATCATTAATATTTTAGAACTTTTAAATACTATTCTGTTTTTAAATACTACGTGCCACATATAATCTGTCTTAAATACCGTTACAAATTTTATACACTTTAATAATTATTATGAAAATATTAAAAACATTATATGAAAAAATTAAATATGTTATGAAAAAATTAAAACTTTATTTTAAATAATAATATTAATAATAATTATGTTTATTAATTAAAATTTTGTAATTATGTTTATTAACTAAATAATAATTATGAAAATATTATAAATATATAATTATATAATTATGTTTATAAAATTTTGTTTATCAAATTATGTTTATTAATTAAAAAGTTTTAATTATGTTTATTAACTAAAACATTATATGAAAAAATTAAATATATTATGAAAATATTAAAAACATTATATGAAAAAATTAAGTACGTTATGAAAAATTAAAACTTTATTTTAAATAATAATATTAATAATAATTATGTTTATTAATTAAAAATTTATAATTATGTTTATTAACTAAATAATAATTATGAAAATATAATTAATAATGATGTTTGTTTTAAATAATATTGAAAAAACGAAACTCTAGATTGGCCTAAGTCGCCGTTCCAAATGGCGAATTCCTTCTCTTTCTTCCTAGTCGGCATTTTAAATGACCACTGTCTGTTAAAACATAGTCACTTTGGTCATTCTCTTCAAACATTTGTTTATTTGGTAAATAATAAACAATACATATTAAAAAAAATTCTAATAATAAAAGAAAATGATAAAAAAATAATAGAAAACATATCCGATCACATAATAAAGATAACTTTTATAACAAATTATACAAAATAGTTGATGAGATATTGATAATTATTTATATTTATATATAATAAAAACAAAATAAAATTCTACAATATATTCACCAAAATTTTCATTCTTTAAATGAAAATAAAGTGTATAATATTTCTCTCTCTTCGAAATCCCGCGCTTCTCTCGTTCTCGCTGTGGCTCTTCACAATCGTAGCACCGACTTTTCTTCTCCGCGATACAAATTCAAGCCATTACATCTTCAACATTCACTCATTCTTTTAGGTATTATTCTTCACCATTCATGCATTGTTGACTATTATTATTATTATTAGTATTATTATTATTATTTTTATTAATATTGTTTGTAATGTGATTTTATTTTACTCATTGTTTTTCATTTTCGATTTTTGTTGAAGTGATTATATATTAATCTGTTTTTGCTATGTTTGTATCGTAGGGTTGGGGTCTTATGTTCATTTTTTCTCGCTTGCATGCAGCTTTCATCAACTTTTCTTCTTTGTTTCTTTTCCTTTGAAAATTCTGTTGAAAACTTGATTTTTTTGCGTGTGTGCTAGGTTTTGTTCATGTTGTTTGTGATTTGGTTCATTTTCTGATAGATTAGGTTTGATTTTTTTAATTAACCATAGTTTTTTGTGAAATAGTAATCATGCTTAAAGGTGGAATGCAAGGAGAAAATTTTAGATGTAAACCATGTAGATTGATGATTTAGTTGTCTAGAAATAATGTATTAAACTGAAATTTTTTGTTTAAAATCGATCCACGGTACACGTCCACGACATGAAAGTTTTTGATACCTTTGCTAATACAATTATGGCTATATCATTTGGATTTGAGTACAATTTTTTATGACATAGATTGACACAACCGTGAATGCGGTTTAGGATGTTGGTTATTAGTATAGGTAGTTTGTTTTTGTTCAATAACAATTGTGGTGATGGTGAAAGTTAAAACTGTGATTTTCTTCTTTTATGAGTGGACCAGTTGTTTGAAATTATTTTGGAATTTGAGGTTGTTGAATTCGGGTGTTTGAGATGCTATCGGAAGATGGGGGTCGTAGTACCCCTAGGACTGAATCTGAAGGTGAAGCTTTGAACAAAAAGATGAAGAAGAGTGGAAATCTAAGCGGAAAAGATATGATCTTCAGAGCTGACGAAATTGATTTGAAAACTTTGGATGCTGTGTTCGATAGGCACATGAGCAGGGCTTATTCCCGAAGCGCCGAGGCAAAGAGGCCTAGAGAAGAGTGGGAGGTTGATTTGGCCAAATTGGATTTACGATATGTTGTTGCGAATGGAGCTTATGGCACTGTCTACCGGGGAACTTATGATGACCAAGATGTTGCAGGTATGTGTGCTTTATGTTTTGCATTCTTATTATGCTTGGTTGTCTTTGTTTAAAACAGTATTGTTAAATAGCAGCTATATCGAAGTTATACTGCTATAGTGTAGCGGAATTCGGACAAACCGTTATCATTCCGCAAGACGCTATTTAATACAAAATATTATCAACTAGTGAGCTATAGTAGAGCTGTAACACTATTGCTTAGCGAAATTTTAAAATCTGTCTTTTTCTGCTATCTGCGATTGACAACATTATTTTAAAAATAACAGAAATTAAAATATGTCAACTCGTTAGATAGTAGAAGATATTGTACTCTCAGGTTTGTTCTTTCAGCCTCGAGTCTAGGTTTTGAAATGTGACCGTTGTTGCGGTTCTGTTAAAATCGTTGATACTGCATATAACAACAAATACATGACAGACAAATGCAGTCGGTGCAACCATAATTGCAGTGTCAAAGGCCTACGTAATCTTTATATTGCGGCCGTCAGCCGCAATTTAACGCTACAATACAAACTTTTTTACCTTATTCGTTAACGCTATTTAATACAAAATATTGCCAAATAGCGGCTGTAGTGGAGTTTTAGCACTATTGCATAGCGAAATTTTAAAAATCTTTCTTTTTCTGCTATCCGCTATCCGCGATTGACAACATTATTTTAAAAATAACAGAAATTAAAATATCTCAAGGTTTGTTCTTTCAGCCTCGAATCTAGGTTTTCAAATGTGGCCATTGTTGCGGTTCTGTTAAATCGTTGATACTGCATGTAATGACAAATAAATGACGGACAAAAGCCGTTGGTGCAAACCATAATTGCAGTGTGAAAGGATTACATAGTCTTATGTGTACTTTATGTTTTGCATTCTTATTCTAGTTGGTTGTCTTTGTTTAAAACAGTGTTGTTAAACTGCAGCTATAGCGGAGTTATACCGCTATAGTGTGCGGAGTTTGGACAAACCTTTTTTATTCTGCAATACACTACTTAATACAAAATATTATCAAATAGCGGCTATAGCTGAATTTTAAAAATCTGTCCTTTAACGCTATCCACGATGAACATTATTTTAAAAATGACAGAAAATAAATATGTCAATGTAGATAGATAGTAGAAGATATTGTACTCTCTCAAGGTTTGTTCTTTCAGCCTTGAATCTAGGTATTGAAACGTGGCTGTTCTTGCAGTTCTGTTAAAATCGTTGATACTGCATATAACGACAAATATGGTCGGTGCGACCATAATTGCAGTGTCAAAGGCCTACGTAATCTTTATACTCCAGCTTTCTTCCGCAATTTAAAGCTACAATCAATACAAACTTTTTTTATCTTATTCAGTTACACTGTTCCCATAAAATAACTGCTCAAGTCATAAGCATTGGTTTCAATTTTGTGTAGAAATAGTCATTTTGAATTTTCTAGTGAAAGTGTTGGACTGTGGTGAGAAGGTTTGCCACTATCGCTGAAACTGTTGCTTTACGAGCATCATTTCGGCAGGAGGTTACTGTCTGGGAAAAACTTGATCATTCAGTTCATATGTCACAAAAGTACAAATTTTAACAATCCACATTTTTCCACGATTGACAAGATTGTTTTCAAATATAACAGAATTTAAAGGATGCTATTCAATATAGTTAAATAGTCGAAGGTATTATATTCTCTCAAGGTTTGTTCTTTCAGCTTCAAATCTAGATTTTGAATTGTGGCTGTTGTCGCGGTTATGGTAAAATCTCTGATATTGCATATGACATGATGCAATCATAATTGCGGTATGGTAGGCCTACATAATCTTTATATTGCATTTGTTGGCCGCAATTTAAACCTACATGACAAATTTTATTGCCTTATTCAGTTATGCAGTTCCCATATAATTAATGCTCAAGTCATAGTCATAGTCTTGATATTTTTGTTTAGAAATTCTCGCTGAATTGTCATATTGAATTTTCTAGTGAAAGTGTTGGACTGGGGTGAGGATGGTGTTGCCAGTGTTGCTGAAATTGCTGCTTTACGGGTAGCATTTCGGAAGGAGGTCACTGTTTGGCAAAAACTTGATCATTCAAATGTCACAAAAGTACTTACTTAATATCCTTCACTCTCTTACATTTAAATTCATGATTACTACTTTGCAAATTCTGCATTATTATTTTTCTCCTTCTTTCCTATATGACGTCGAACAATAGGAGTTTTATTTTTTCAAATCGTAAATCTGTAATTGTTCATATCATTCTTCCAACAGTTTGTTGGAGCTTCAATGGGCACTTCAAATCTAAAGATTCCTTCAGACGCTGGTGGTCAAAATCCCCCTCCTTCCAAGGCGTGTTGCGTTATTGTTGAGTTTGTTCATGGTGGGACATTAAAACAATACTTGTTGAAGAATAGGCGGAAGAAACTTCCATTTAAGGTTGTGGTTCAGTTGGCTTTGGATCTGGCTAGAGGGTGAGTCTCATTGTATTTACCTCTTACAATTGTTGGTATATAATTGTATTATTCCTCTCAAACACAACATGTTTTTTCATATTGCAGTCTTAGTTATCTACATTCGAAGAAAATTGTTCACCGCGATCTAAAAACTGATAATATGTTGTTGGATGAAAATCAAAAGTTAAAAATAGCTGATTTCGGGGTTGCTCGGGTTGAAGCGATAAATCCAAGTGAAATGACAGGTGAAACTGGAACAATTGGATACATGGCGCCGGAGGTACTAATCATGCTTTGTAATATGCTCTCAATATTATGTAGTTAAATGTGATGGCTGATTATGGAAGTAGAAATCGGAATTCTATTTCAATAATTTGCTTTAATCTCAGCCTTAAACTATGTGTAGGTTATAAATGGTAAGCCGTACAACAGAAGCTGCGACGTCTACAGCTTTGGCATTTGCTTGTGGGAAATTTATTGCTGCGACATGCCTTATCAAAACCTGAGCTTTGCTGACGCGTCGTCTGCTGTTGCTAGTAAGGTCAGTTCATACAATGAACCATGAACTCTTTATATCTACCCTCATATTCTTTTCCTATGAGCATTTTGAAAATTTCATGATCTTGTTTCTACATGGCATGATTTAGTCATTCCTACATAGTAAACGTTTTCAGCTGTCATTACACGATGATAAACAATTTAACTAATTTGAACTACATTTACTCTTAATTCAAAAGAATGCTCCCTATTATGCCACCATAAACATTTCCTCTAGAAATACTTTATCTGTTTTATACATCATTCTACACTTCCATCTATAACCAGTTTTGCTTTAATTCTTGTGCAGAATTTACGACCAGATATTCCTCGATGTTGTCCAAGTGCGTTAGCAACAATAATGAAAAAATGCTGGGACAAACATCCAGAAAAGCGTCCACAAATGCAAGAGGTGGTGAGTATGCTGGAAGCACTTGACACAAGCAGAGGAGGTGGAATGATACCAGAGGATCAGACTCCATTTTGTGTTTGGTTTAGACGTGCTCGTGGTCCATAATTATTCATACTCGATTTTTGATGAGTATTATTATGTACATTACTAATAGTTATCGTCGACTATGTAAACATGGGAGATGTGTTGCAGCTAATCAACTGCCATTTGCTGGCTTGTCAATTTACTGCTGAATTATATGCTTTTTAATAAAATGAACTGGATATTGAACTAGTATTGAGTCATTGGTTTATTGGAGACTCATCGTGGCCTCTACGGGTTCATGACTCATGAGCACTGATGTTTCTAGTTTTTTGTTGGATAGATTGGGTGTGTTATGGAACAATCTATCAATTTTAGATATATAGAGATCGTGCAAATCAAAATGAGAAAGGAGCAACTGTTTTTTGAACAGAACGTGAATGAAGATTATAATCTCTAGCCAATTCATTGCAGGAATTCTGGTTCTTGAAAAATGCAGTTAGTGTATAGAGATTAGTTGAAGGCTCTTCATGTTCCTCACTATCTTGGCTTCAAAGCTTGAAAGTTTAATAGCACAATTCGCACATGCAAAAGAGCTATGTATCTTTGTTTCTGGTATTTTTCATGAAACAGATTTTGTGTCTTGTTTCTGGTATTTTTCATGAAACAGATTTTACATCATGCATGCATGGCTAGAGTGAGAAAGTCTTATTTTCATGAATGCAACTTTCATCATGCATGCAACAAAGCTATTTTTCCCTCTCCTATGTAACATCATGCAACAAAGCTATTTTCCCCTCTCCTATGAAACATCTATTCCATCCTCCTGTTCATTTATTACTGTGCAGAGACACCTAGCCATCTATTTTTTCTTGTAACTATATTACAGTAGTCAAATAACTTGCTTCTAATGCAGCTTCAACATCTTATTTGAATTATCTCAAAATAATCATTAGTTTCAATAAATCCACCAGATTTTATTAACAAACTTTGATATGTAAAATGAACTAAAATTTAAAACAATATATTACCTCATTCAAACCGACAATGGAGCATGTGTGTAAGCTTGTTCATGTCTTTGTAACCAAGGTATTGGAACTGATAGTTTTGCTAGGAAAGCTTTGAGCCACTTTTAAGTCATAAAAGATTAGATACAAAGTTTTTTTCTCAACAAAAACATAATTCCTATTACTAAAAACTCAATGCAGCTTAAACTCCAGGGAAGAGTACCGACTAACAATCTTGCTGTTAAGCAAAGCGCTAGCAGATTTGACGAGAGATTCACGGTGGGAGAGTTCGATAGGGACTGCCATGGCAATGAGAATGTCAACAGCCCTAACGGATGCTTTATGAAGCGAATCAGAGATTACGGTAGGATGGATTCCATGAGAGAGAAGACATTTTTCAGGAAGTGCACTGGCGATGACGATTACAGATGTGGTGCCGTCATTCCTTATACTTTGGTTGAGAATGCTGGTTTGAATCCGATTGTGATTGTTACTGAGCTGAGGAACCATGATTTTTACATTCCTCAAGCTCTTGTTGTAGTCCTTCCAATCACTACGCCAGAACTTAGTTTTAGCAGCGCATACAAAGACAACGCTTTTTAAAAAAGCGTTGCTAAAGGGTCAGTAAAAAAAAAGAAAAAAAAATTGCCTATCAAAGACAGTGCTTTTAAAAAAGCACTGCTAAAGGGGACCATAAGAAAGTGCTTTTTAAAAAGCGCTGCTAAAGGGGTACCCTAAGAAAGCGCTTTTAAAAAGCGCTGCTAAAGGGTGACCCTAAGAAAGCGCTTTTAAAAAGCGCTGCTAAAGGGGGACACTTAGAAAGCGCTTTCTCTATAAAGCGCTGTTATATGGCATTGCTAAGGCACCATATGAAAGCGCTTTTTAAAACGCTGTTAAAGACCTTTAAAAAGCGCTGTTATAGATATTAGTATTATAATTTTAAAATACCCTCCAGAATTTTAAAAGAAACAGAACACTCGCGACGTGTTTCTTTTCTTCTTTCTTTCTCCTCTGGCGAACGAACTTGTCCTATACAACCATTCCGTTGCCGTCATCATCCGTCCCACCGTCGCCCTCTTCCGTTGAATTTCGCCCCCGTTCACCGTCCGTTTTCGAGTGCATCCGTCCGTCTGCATTGCATTTCCACCATTGTTACAGTATGTGAAGTTTTACTATGGTTTTCTTGTTTATTTATCTTTTCACCATTGTTACTGTGGTATTTGAAGATATAGATGGTTTTTTTTGTTCTGATGATATAGATGGTTTTGTGTTATTGAGATATTGAAGGTTTTGTGTTATTGTCTCTTTATTGTTATTAAGAAATTGAAGGTTTTGTGTTATTGAGACATTGAAGGTTTGATGTAGTTGTTGCAATGCGAAGGTTTGTTGTTATTGAGGCATTGAAGGTTTAATATTATTGTTGCTGTTGTTGTTTTTATTGAGTTATTGAAGGTTTAGTGAAGGTTTTTAGTGTTGTTTTGCATTGAGGGTTTGAGGACATGTAAGTAAATTTGAGTTCAAGTATGATATTTGATATGATGTTAACACTAATGTTGTTGGGTTTGTGTAGATATGTTACGTATACACTAAGGTTTTTAGTGTTGTTTTTGTTGTTGTTGTTGTTAAAAGCCTAAACTCAAAATGCTTTATATTATTGTTAATGTTATTGTTGTTTTTATTTTGTTGCTATTGTGAACTTAGATGGATAATTCATCTAGCACCAATCATACAAATGAGTTTTCTTCTAATTTGAATATAAAAAAATATTAGATAATGATGGCTAAAAATATTAATGTAACTTGATAGAGCATATTGTTTTTTTAATAGTTTGGAAATTCCTATTTTTTAAGAGAGTAGCCAACATGAATATGGTTTTATATGATATGGTTTTATATGTTATTATGGTTTTATATGTTGATGGTTTTATATGTTGATATGTTAGTATGGATTTCTCAATGTTTATATGACATGTTATTATGATTTTATATGTTTAGTTAGGATTTCTCAATGTTTAGTAAGGGTGTCATTTTGGTTTAAGGATTATCTAGTATTTTTAATATGATTTGTTTTGGTGGATTATCTAATATTTTTGTTTTGGTTAATTATTAATATGATTTTAATAAAATTTATATTTTGTCTGCTATAGGGGTTACCTGTGAACAGCAAAGTTGTGATCGTTTCCAAGCATCCTACTGTGTAGCATTCCTAGAAGTTAGTGATTTCTTTACAGGTATTCTCTGTTTTGTTTAACTTTCATAGTTTATTGTAGATTACTCAATTAGTATGGATAAAAAATGGATGTCTGGTAATCGATTGGAGTACGAGAATGGGGTATCGAAGTTCGTTAAGTTTGCTGTTGAACACGCCAAAGACCCCAGTAGGATCACATGTCCTTGCTTGGGATGCTGTTATGGGCGTCGAGTTGACGCCGTTCAGTTGGAGTCTCATTTAATGAGACATGAAATTGATCAAAGTTACACATGTTGGACATTACATGGTGAGATAAGTAACGAGAATGTTGAACCCCGGAATAATACGACATGTGCTTCAAAGGACAATGGCAGGGACACATATGATTGTGATCGAGTCGAAGAGATTGCAGAAGCACTTGAAGAAGATCTTCAATATTGTCCCAAGATGTTTGAGAGGTTGGTAAGCGATGCAGAGAAATCGTTGTATAAAGGTTGCATTACTTTCACAAGATTGTCCGCGGTATTAAAGTTGTACAATTTAAAGGCGGGTAATGGATGGTCGGATAAAAGTTTCACAGAGTTGTTAGCCCTACTTCAAGAGATGCTTCCGAAGGATAATGTTCTTCCCAATCGAACCTATGAAGCTAAAAAAATGTTATGCTCTATTGGCATGAGCTATGATAAGATACATGCTTGTCCAAATGATTGCATTTTGTTTCGAAATGAATATGCATCATTAAACGAGTGTCCTAAATGCGGTGTATCTTGGTATAAGAAAAAATTGTCACCAGCAAAAGTATTATGGTATTTTCCTATAATTCCGAGATTCAGACGCATGTTTCGTAGTGAAACAGATGCAAAACACCTGACTTGGCATGCAGATGATAGAATTGTAGATGGGAAGTATCGACATCCGGCAGATTCACCACAGTGGATGAAAATTGATAATGATTATCATGATTTTGGAGAAGAAGCTAGAAACCTTCGCTTGGCATTATCAACTGATGGAATGAATCCGCATGGTCTGCAAAGTATCTCACATTCCACCTGGCCTGTAATTATTATGATTTATAACCTACCTCCATGGCTATGTATGAAGCGTAAGTACATGATGTTATCTATGTTAATTTCTGGCCCTAAACAACCAGGGAATGACATAGACGTATACCTGACACCTTTAATCGAAGACCTAAAGAGTTTGTGGGAGAACGGTTGGAGGTTTATGATGGATATAGGAAAGAAAGTTTTAATTTGAGGGCGATGTTGTTTGGCACAATTAATGATTTCCCAGCATACGGAAATCTATCGGGTTATAGCATTAAAGGTCAATGTGCGTGTCCTATCTGTGAAGAAAACACAGATTGGACGCGGTTGGAATTTGGTCAGAAGAATGTCTTTCTTGGTCATCGTAGATTCTTAAATTCTAATCATCACTATCGTGGATGGAGAAAAACATTCAATGGAAATTCAGAATAACGTAAAGCTCCACCTACATTTTGAAAAGGTGAAAGATGTGAGTACTAAGTTTGGCAAGCCTTTTGCTCATACGCTTGTCACGCGTGGGTGGAAGAAGAGGTCCATTTTGTTTGAGTTGTCTTATTGGAAGTCGTTGTATGTAAGACATTTTCTTGATGTTATGCATATTGAAAAAAATGTATTTGAAAATGTATTTGAAAGTGTTATTGGTGCGTTGTTGCCTATACCAGATGTTGTTTCAGGCGCAACAGTGGTGGGAGACGCAATAGGAGCGTATGTGGCATGGCCGACAAATCTCATTTGCATAGATGATGAGGTAAGTTGAACCTTTTAATATTCAAATGTTTTATGATCCATACATGAAAGTTATTCTTATATTTACATTTTCTTATTTACATGATGATCTTAG